GGTGGGGTGACACCCCTCCCTTTGCCCCCGCAGTGCAGTTTGAGAGCCCCGAGCGCTCCCCCAGCCTGTCCCGGCAGCTGCCGCGGTCCCCCCGACCCACCGCGGGCGCCAGGCTGGGCTGTCCCCCCAGCCCCAGGCACGTGGACACCTCGCTGCCCCTGGAGAAGCAGGCGTGAGTCTGGGGTGTCCCTCCTCCACGGGGTAGCATCAACATCCTGATGCCACATCCTGGCATGGAGACAGCCCTCTGGGGTGGAGGGTCCCCCACAGATGGGTCCCCGTAAAGTGGAGGGTGCCCCATGGCGTGGTTGGTCCCTTTGATGTGGTTTGGTGCCCCATGGCAAGGATGGGTCCCCGTGGGGCGGAGGGTGCCCCGTGGCATGGTCCTTTTGACATGGTTGGGTGCCCCATGCCATGGTTGGTCCCTTCGATGTGGTTGGGTGCCCCATGGCATGGATGGGTCTCCACGGTGTGGAGGGTGCACCATGGCATGGATGGGTCCCCATGGGGTGGAGGATGCCCCATGCCATGGTTGGTCCCTTCAACGTGGTTGGGTGCCCCATGGCATGGATGGGTCTCCACGGTGTGGAGGGTGCGCCATGGCATGGATGGGGCCCCATGGGGTGGAGTATGCCCCATGCCATGGTTGGTCCCTTCAACGTGGTTGGGTGCCCCATGGCATGGATGGGTCTCCACGGTGTGGAGGGTGCACCATGGCATGGATGGGTCCCTATGGGGTGGAGGGTGCCCCATGCCATGGTTGGTCCCTTCAACGTGGTTGGGTGCCCCATGGCATGGATGGGTCTCCACTGTGTGGAGGGTGCCCAACGGCATGGATGTGTCCCTAAGGCCTAGAGGGTCCTTATGACATGGATGGTCCCTTTGGCATGGATAGGTGCCCCATGGCACAGTGTCCCTGATGTAGATGGTGCCCCATGGCACAGACAGGTCCCTGTGGGGTGGGTGGGTCCTCACACTGCAGTGAGTTCCCCGCGTTGCTGATGGGTCCGAGTGGTGGGGACGGTGTCCCATGGCGTGGAGGGTGCCCCACGGTGGCCGCAGCGCTGTGTTTTGGGGTACCACTTACCAGGTGCCAGGGTGAGGCACGCTGGGGTGCCAAACACTGGTGTGCCACACTCTGGGGTGCCACGTGCCGGGATGACACACACCACCACGCAGGTGGTACCACGGCCCCATTGGGCGGGCGGGCGCCGAGACGCTGCTGGCGCTGTGCCGCGAGGGCAGCTTCCTGGTGCGGGACTGCGAGACCAGCCCTGACGACTACTCGCTCTCGCTGAGGTGAGTGTGGGGCTGCTGGGGGGGACACGGGGACAGCCCTGGGGACAACCCAGGCACGGAGTGGCCGTGGTGGGGACACCTGGGCAGAGGGGCTGGGCTGTGAGCATCCACGTGCTGGCGTGCATTTGCACGTTTCCCCCATGATCCACGTTGATGCGCACACGCATGTGCAATGGTGGCCGGGCCGTGCGCCGCGTGCCTCAGTTTACCCTCCCAAAGGAGCAGCCCAAAAAAAACGGTAAACAGATTTTGGGGCTGGCCCGCGCCGGAGCCCCCTTCCCCTCGGTGCCCGAGGCCGTGCGACACTACACGGCGCGGGCGCTGCCCGTCCGCGGCGCCCGCCACCTCTCCCTGCTCTACCCCGTGGCCGCGCAGCCCCTGTGAGCCCAGCGCTGATGAGGACCCCCCCCCAGCTGTGCCCCCCACCCCGTCCCGCCCGCGAAGCACCCCCACTAAACCCC